CCCGGGGAGCCGCGCGGGGAGGAGGGTCGGGCGGGTCTCAGCCCCTCCTCGCCCCCAGGCTCCCACTCCATGAGGTATTTCCACACCGCCGTGTCCCGGCCCGGCCGCGGGGAGCCCCGCTTCATCGCCGTGGGTTATGTGGATGACACGCAGTTCGTGCGGTTCGACAGCGACGCCGCGAGTCCGAGGATGGAGCCGCGGGCGCCGTGGATGGAGCAGGAGGGGCCGGAGTATTGGGACCGGGAGACACAGAAAGCCAAGGCCCACGCACAGGTTTTCCGAGTGAACCTGCGCACCGCGCTTCGCTACTACAACCAGAGCGAGGCCGGTGAGTGACCCCGGCCCGGGGCGCAGGTCACGACCCCTCCCCATGCCCCACGGATGGCCCGGGTCCGAGATCCACCCCGAGGCTGCAGGACCCGCCCAAGACCCTCGACCTGGGAGTGCCGCGGGCGCCTTTGCTCAGTTTCAGTTTCAGTTTAGGCGGAAGTCCCCACGGGTTGGTCGGGGCGGGGCGGGGCTCGGTGGGCGTGGCTGACCGCGGGGGCGGGGCCAGGGTCTCACACCTTCCAGAGGATGCATGGCTGCGACCTGGGGCCTGACGGGCGCCTCCTCCGCGGGTATCACCAGTTAGCCTACGATGGCAAGGATTACATCTCCCTGAACGGGGACCTGAGCTCCTGGACCGCCGCGGATATGGCGGCTCAGGTCACACAGCGCAAGTGGGAGGCGGCCCGTGAAGCTGAGCAGCGGAGAGCCTACCTGGAGGGCGAGTGCCTGGAGTCGCTCCGCAGATACCTGGAGAACGGGAAGGAGACGCTGCAGCGCGTGGGTACCAGGGGCAGTGGGGAGCCTTCCCCGTCTCCTATAAATCTCCCAGGATGGCCTCCCACGAGGAGGGGAGGATAATGTGATCAGCGCTAGAATGTCGCCCTCCCTTGAATGGAGAATGGCATGAATTTTCCTGATTTCCTCTGAGGGCCCCCTCTGCTCTCTAGGACAATTAAGGGATGACGTCTCTGAGGACATGGAGGGGAAGACAGTCCCTAAATATTGATCAGGGTTCCCCTTTGACCACCGCAGCAGCCTTGAGCTTTTTCTCTCAGGCCTTGTTCTCTTCCTCACACTCAACGTGTTTGAAGGTCTGATTCCAGCTTTTCTGAGTCCCTCGGCCTCCACTCAGGTCAGGACCAGAAGTCGCTGTTCCTCCCTCAGAGACTAGAACTTTCCAA